CCCTGGGGCCTGGCTGCACCGAGAGGGAGGGTCTGTCAGGAAGGTGTCCTAGAGAGAGGGAGGGGGAGTGAGGGCTGCCTGCCCACCTTGTATGTTAAATATATATATACTAGAGGCCCAGCGTGTGAAATCACACGAGACCCCGAACCCGCCAGTCGAACCCCATACCCACCCTACTGCAAGACCCATCAATGCAACTCCTGTGCATTACGGCCACTGGCCTTTTATAATATAGATCAGGTTCAGAGAGGAAAGGAGAGGGACAGAGTGATAGAAACATCAATGATGAGAAAGAAGATATGATCAGCTGCCTCATGCATGCCCCTACCTGGGGATTGAGCCGGCAACCTGGGCATGCAACCTCACCTGAAATTGAACTGCGACCTCCTGGTTCATAGGTTCAGCAAGGTGGGCTGCCTACCTTGTTCTGACCTGAGAGTCACCAGGCCTCTCTCTGAGGACCCTCCTCTCTGTCTGTCTCCGTTTCTCTGAGTCTCCCCTCTCCCCTCACCCCCTGTCTCTCTCTGTCTCTCTCCCTCCCTGGGGCCCTGCACTTTCTTTCTGGCCTCACCACCTGAGACCCCAGCAAGGGCTGTGCAAAGTCTGGGTCCCTGAGTGAACCCACTGGCTCCTCACCTGCCACCAGGATGTCTAGAGGGGTTACTGGGCCAAACACTCAAAGAAAAGTTTGTTCCTACTCTAGCATATGTACCCGCCCCCCTGTCAGCCTCTCTGAGTGTCAAGAGGAAGTGGGCCTGAGAGAGCCCAGCCTGGGGCTGCAGGAAAAGGCTCTGGGGGACGTTCCTTCCTCACTCTTTCGACAGAGCAAATCGGTCATACCCGACATCAGAGCGACACTGTAGGGTCAGGCTCTGTCCAGAGGCCATGATGGGGTCCTGCTGGCTCAGGAGGGAGGGCTTCCCAGACTCACCTGGGGAGACCAGATGAGAATTACTGGGGCAACTCCTCCCACAAAACCCTGCTCCTGGCCTACCCTCCTGGTCTCACTGTCTCTCCCTGTGTCTCTGGCCCAGGAGCCCTTGTGATGCCCTGACCTCACCCTCTCACATGGGGATACACTCAAAGTAATGACCCTAATAACACCCCAGTTTGGTTCCAGAATCAATGGAAGGGATAATAATGTGACTTACCTGAGACCAGGAGTTCCAGGGGGTCACTAGGTTGTGAGCACAAGTGGGGTTTGTCCCTGTAACAGCCATAGCATCTGAACGTCCACCTGTGGCTGGAGTTCACTGGGCCCAAAGGGAACAGGGCCTGGAACTGCCCACTGAGGTGTGTCTGTGAAACCAGGGTCCAGGAGAGCCTGTGATCTCCTTCCTTAGTCAGAATAAACCTGTCAAAAAATCCCTGCCATGAGCCACACTGGAGGGTCACATTCCCTCCTGAGGTCACCACAGGGCTGGGCAGGGCTGAGAGGCTGGGTCTGCTGTAGGTTCCTAGGAAAGGAGGAAGCAGCGTGTTACATGGGCTCACACCTCCCTCATGTCCCCCAGGGCTGGGCTGTGAGAGGGGGACACCCTGAGAGCAGACACCCTTCCTGAGGGCAGAGCCTGAGACTGGGACCCCTAAGTGTCTTCTCACCTATGGTCACCACCAGCTCCAGGGGGTCACTGCGCTCTGACCAGCCAGTAAGGCTGCGATAGTAACAGCGATATATCCCAGCACCATGCTCTGTCAGGCTTGTGATCCTGAACATGCCCTTGTCCATTGGATGCAGTGAATTCACTCCGCACCAGGGAAATGTGTTTCCCTCTTTGTGAAAACAGAACTCCTTGGCCTCCAGGGTTCCCTGACACCAGATGGTCACGGGGCTCCTCCAGGACATCACAGAGGCTGGCTCAGCCCAGAGGGTGGGTTTGAGGAGAGTCCCTGGAAGGAAACCAGAGGCTGCATTTCCAAGACCTTCCCCACCTTCCTTTTCTAGCTTAGTGCTAGAACCTCCTCTTTTATCACCTCAACCCAGCACCTCTGAGCTCCCTCCTGAGCCCCAGGGGTGAAGTAAGAGGAGGGACATGGAGCCTGGGGAGGACTCACCTGCCTGCATGTGGATCCTCTGGTCCAGACTCAGCCCTGGAAGAGAGTGTCAGTGAGAGATTTGCACCCGGATGTCTGAGCTGATTCCCTTCCCATTAGAACCCGGTCCACTCAAGCTGCCTGAGCCTGAGGTTCCCCATGAACAAGAGGATGCAGCTGCCCCTCCTCTCCCCCTCCCCATGTCCACAACTAACCGAGGCAGAGAAGAGCTGAGAGGATGGACGTCATGGCGTCTGCTCTGAGGGCTCCTGCTCTGCAGATGGAGGAGTCCTGGGCCTGAAGGACAGAGATGCACAGGATGTGGTGGGTCAGAAGCGGCTACTGCCTTCTGGGTTTTCACAGCTGGGGACCCACAGACAATAGAGGGCCCCGCCCTGGGCCTGGCTCTGCATCTCCCCAGGATGAGGGCTGAGGGGGAGGCAGCTTCTCAGGTCTCACCTGATCCTTAGGGTTTCAGGTGTCTTCTTGTCTGGCTCCTGCTCAGAGAAGGTGGGACCCAGGTTCTGGTCCTGATCTGCCCCTGAGAGTCTGGCTCTGAACAGCCTAATGGGTCCCCGGACCACGGCTCTTGAGGGACCTCATTTATAAACGACCCTGCGGAGAAGTTTCCCAGTGGCCTCAGCATTTCCAAGACTTTTCCTGGTTCTAGGGTCCTGGTAGGTTCCTCTGAACAGCCCAATGGGACACCCGACCACGGCTCTTGAGGGAACTCATTTATGAAAGACTCTGCTGAGCAGATTCCCAGTGGCCTCAGCATTTCTTCGACTTTCCGTGGTTCAAGGGTCTTGGTGGGTTCCCATCCCTGCCCACCCTTTGTGTTTCCTGCCTTTTTCATGTTCATTATTCAGTGTAAGTATTGGTACCATCCTTGTGGTTTGATGCATATTTATTTCTTCAATGATTTATAAAGCTCAGCACCTTTTATTTAAAAATTTTTTTTGTTACTCCTCACCTGAGGATATTATTTCCAGTGATTTGTAGAGAGGATGGAAGGGAGAGAGGGAAGGAGAGAGTGAGAGATAAACATTGATGTGAGAAACATGTGAAGAGGTTGCATCCCACATGAGGGCCATGGTCAAAACTGCAACCAAGGCACATGCCCTTGACCTGGAAGCAAACCTGTGACTCCTCGGTGGTCAGGCTGATGTGCTAACCACTGAGAAATACCAGCCAAGGCAGCTCATCACCTTAAATAATGTTACTGCACATTTGCATGTCAATATCAGTTGCTTGTTAAGTTTTTGCTTGCTTCTCTATTGCTCTCTGCTGCCACATAACAACTTGTACATGTTTCCTAATGATCTGAATGCCAGTCCGTGGTCTCATTTTGACATCGCAAATATCTATCGTCTTCACTCTCTCACTGGTGTCTATAAGGAACAGAAGTTCTTCATCTTAGTGGATTCCACTGTGTACATGTCCCCCCTGAGTTCATGTTCTTGTGTCCACATTGCAGGAAAAAGAGTCTCCCACAAATTAGTAAGATAGTTCCCCCTTTTCTTTTCTCAAAAGAAAAAGAAATTGGTTTATTTTTCATGTTTTGTTCCGTCGCCCATCTGACATTGATTATTGTAAATGGTGTAAGGCAGGTAAGACGTTCACTGTGTCCCGCAGACTCACCCACTGGCCCAGCACCACCTGATGGAAAGGCCATGACCTCGCAGCCCAGCAGCAAAGGTCTGTCATGATCGAGGTGACTACACGCGAGGGGTCTGACCTGGAGTCTTCTTTCTGCTCCTTTGGACAAGGCATCTCTTCTTTTCAATTTCTCAAAATACCAACATCTCCATCTGCATTGAATGGCTGGTTTCGTTTCCTCCATATCTCAGGCAAGAAAAATTCTCATCATCTTTGTGGGGGAGGCTTTTGTTTTGCTGAGAAGTCAAGGGAGGAAGTAGCCTGCTCAAGTGTCCTTCAACCACTCAGTTGGTAGCACCACAACTGATATTTAATGTGTCTGTGTGTGCTATGCCTTGGAACAGGACTCCCATGAATGTAATTCTTGTCTGAATCCTGCTGAGTCTCCACAGTTTGAAGAAGAGAGTGACAACAGGCCTCAAAGGTGCTCTGAAGCGTCAGAAATGACTCAGATGATTGGCCCACAGGACATGGAGAGATCCCGCTGCTCACAGACAAAAATTCAGGTGGAACCTGTGTGAGACGTAGGACCTGCGTCCCAGGGCCAGGAGGAGGCACTGAACTGCCCTGTGGGAGCAGATGCATCTTGCACAGCCCCCAGGCTCCTCCCTCCCCCACCCCTGGGCTCTCTGTCCTGAGGGCCCCTTGGTGTCCCCAGTCAACAACACAGGGAGGGAGGTCACCTTCACACCCTCATGGCAGCCGTCATGTCCACCACCTTCCTGATCTCTGACTCCACACCCTCACTCCCTTCTCCAGTTCACCCTCCACATCTGCCCTTGCAACTACTTTTCAGAAGCTGTTTATGCATAAAACCTTCCATGGTCCTCACTGTCTTCAGGTGAATCCATACTCTTCCTTCTGCACTCAAGGCTGATCATGATCATCCAGATGTGACCCTCCCACCTCAGCTCTCACTTCTACTTCCCTCAGACAGATGGGTATAGCTGCCCATGAACACACACACACTCACAGACACACACACTATCACACATACATTCTCACACACATATATACTCACACTCATATACCTGGATACTTACACACAAACATAAGCATACATATTTAACCACTCTTAGATACATACACTCACACATACACACTCACATTCATATATGCTCACACAGGCTCACACACACTCATGTCTACATGCTGTTACACACATATTCATTCATACACACATATCCACTCTCATTACTAGTCACACAACTCTTACAGGGATAAGTGATCACGAACATACATACTCAGACACTCACACACATATACATTCACACACATGTACACAGTCACACTAAAACACCAGAACACATATACACTCAAACACTACACACTCACACATACACACCTACTGACACATATATAGGCCCATTCAAACACACACAATACATACACTCACATCCAAAACACACAAATACACCTGCACAGACACACACACACACACATACACACACACACACACACACACAACTCTCAAACATTCACATATATATTCATACAGCCCACACATATATAGACTCACCCACACTCACACACACATACACATTTATGCAAACACTTATACTCTCACACATATGCTCACACACATAAACACACATGGGTTTTCCTTTTTTTCATTTCATAGGTTTGATGTGTAGTATTTACATTATCATTTAATCTAAAAAATTCACTTCTGTTTTGGTTCGCTCATTGATTATTGCCAAGTCTGTTGATTTATTTCCAAAATGTAAGGAATACATTTTGGAAATAAATGTATGTTTTCTCGGTCTAGGAGGTTAGGAGAGGAGGGAGCTCTGTTCAGATGGGCTCAGGGGGCGCCCTGAGGGGCCACGATGTTGTCCTAACCCGGGTTGTGTGTTGGGGGAGGGGAGGAGGTTCACCGGATGAGTTTGGTTGGAGGAGGCATTGGCCTCACTCGGGCTGGAGAATGTAGCTCAGCATGATCAGCAGCAGCACGAACTGCCGGGTGGAGATCCCTGGATGTGGCTGGAGTCAGGGGGGAACCGTGGACAGGCTTTGTGCAGGGGATGATCGGTGACAGGTACGTTTGGGACCATGAGAATGAAACACCTGAGCCAAGACTGAGGGTCTGGAGGAGGCCAGGAGGCTGATGGGGTCACACCAACGAGCTGTCCTGGGTCTTCACCTGAGCTTGTCTGTGGGGAGAACTGGGTCACAGGAAGGAGAACCGAGAGCCAGAACGCTGGGATTGGTTCAGTGTGTGAGAGAGAAAGGGGAGAATGGAGGGCTCGTCCTCTCTCCGCCATGACTGCCTGCAGGAGCCAATGGGGCTGTATCCAGTTTGCTGACCCCAAGAGGAACAGGAGGCCTGGGGGATGTTACAAAACTGTCAACTCACCCACAGAGGCAACCAGCACTGCTCTCCAGGCCTGGGTGTGTGCTGCTGCTTCTCCCTATCACTTCCTCTCTCTGACTTTCTTGTCTCTGTGAGCAGAGCTCCTGCTCTCCATCCCTCTCCATCAAACCTTCACATTCCTTTCTGCCTCCTCACCGCCTCTTGTCCCCCAGACTGTACCTCTTTGTCTTATGCTGTTTATTCCATCTCCATGCTTTGGGTAGAAGAGTGTGTTGGAGACAATTCCCAGGTTGTAATCTAAGAACTGGAGACACGTTCATTGACCCTCTATTTTGAGCCAGTCTCTTGTCCTCTTCCTCTTTGCCTGTTGGGCAAAATTGTGAAACCTCACTTCTGAGGGTTGTTCTGAGGATCAGCAGTGCCAGAGACATGTAGAGCACCAATCAGTTGTTAATTACTTTCTTTTTTAAAAAAAAGTATATTTTTATTGATTTCAGAAAGGAAGGGAGAGGGAGAGGGAGATAGAAACATCAATGATGAGAGAGAATCATTGATTGGGAGCCTCCTGCAAGCCACACACTGAGGATGGAACCCACAACCCAGGCATGTGCCATGACCTGGAATCCAACCCTGACCACCTGGTTCATAGGTCAACACTCAACCACTGAGCAAAGCGGGCCAGAAATCTGGTGTCATTTTCTGACCTGATGAAGGCATGTGTATGGGAGGCGTGTGGTGGGAAGGGCTATTTGGAGGCCACATGTGTATCCCCCAAGCCTACAAGCTGAATCAGAAGCTGTAGTGAATCCTTGGTTGAATGGCAGGTGAGCGCAGACAAAAGGATGCAGGGGTGGTGGGTCTCATTTTGGAACCTAGACTCAGCCCAAGTCAGGAGTGAAGGTGGAAATTTAATGAGTGGATTGTTCCCTAAGCACTTAGGGCACCTCTGACCTGGTGGGAGTCCTGCTTCCATAAAACTCCACGGACACCAGTGGTGCAACCTCCAAGGTATAAGGCAGCTGTAGAGATCCACGCGTGTTTCACTTGCATTTCTTTTTATTGAAGCAACCGTCACATAACATACAATTGAGCCTTTTGAAATATGAAATTCACTAGAATGCAGTTAATACACAATGTCTCAATGACAACATCTATCTTGTTTCAAGAAAGTTTTAACGCCCCCCCCCCAAAAAAATACAAACAACAAAACAACACCAACAACAAACAGTCCGTCTCCCATCTGTCCTCCTGGTCAACCCCAGACAAACCAATCTGATTTCTGTTTCTATGGGTTTCCTTCTCCTGGACATTTTGAATAAAAGGAATCACACAAAACCTGATTCCATTTTGTGTCCTGTTTCTGTCCCTGAGCTGCATTATTATGAGATTTTCCAACTATGGACCAGGTGCCTGTCCTTTGTTCTTTATGGTTTAAACAAAGCCCAGGGTTGTAGAGATACCTCATTTTGTTGGGATGGATGTGGCCCAGCATGAAGGAGTGTATGGATGTGAATCCAAACCAGCCATATGGGTCGGAACATTGTCTCATGTCACAGGGTGAGAACAGAAGGGCAGTGGAGGAGAGTCAGCGAGGACAGGGAGGGAGGGAGAGCACCCAAGTGGATGGAGGAGGACATGGCCCACGTTCTTCTGCACCCAGACCTCACCTACCACGTCTACTTCCCTGGACATTCTCAACAGACATATTGCCAACTTTGTTCCCCACTTTCCTTCAGCACCTCCTGGGATCCTCAGATGGGCTCCAAGACTCCCCCTCTGAACGATGCGTTGGTCCCTCTGTGTTCACATGCTGGCTGCATCGAGGGTCTTTATAGGGTTGTTTCGAGCCTCAAATAGCAGCACCCCCAGGACCACCAGGATCAAGCCAGCCATGCCCATCCGGATAAGATTCTCCACTGTGTAGTCTTGGGGATGGAAAAATATGAAATATGGGTAAAGAAGTCTCAGAGGTCAGGGTAGACTCAAATCTCTAGGATTTTGATGTTCAACCTGGGCTCCCACCTCCCCTTGACATCAGTGTCCCTCTGATGTCTGAACTCAATACCTGCTCTGAGTCACCTTGATAAGCGTTAGCTGTGCCCAAGAACTGAGGATGAGTAAGAAATGGTCTCAATTCAGAAATAACTAAGAGCTGTGTGCTCTGTGTTCAGTCTGTGGATCAAGACCCCATGAGCTTATTCCCCTACAGCTGAGAGATCCCACCTTCTCAACAGCTGGGGACCCAGGGTCCATGGAGGAGGGGTTGGTGTCAGGGGCTCCTGAATCTCAGGAGCATGAAGGGGTGAAAGTCTGGGCTGGGTCTCCTTCACCCCAACCCACCCAGGCCCCTCCTCTCATGGGTCTACTATGTCCGTTGATTAAGGCCACATAGACTCTTATCCAGTACCATTTGGGACCTAGAACATTAGTGACGTCATGAATGAACCAGTGATGCCATTTAATGAGCACCTACTGTGTGAGAGGCACATGCTGGGGTCTGTTACTCATCTCCTCTCACCTCACAGCAGTCATGCACCAAGCATGACTGACCCACAAACCACTTCACTGAGGCTCAGAGAGATTAAGCACATGCCCCAGGCTGGGATAGTGGGATAGAAACCCTGGACTGTGAGTTCTTAGTGCTGTCGTCATGCTCCCCTCCCCTGCCACTTCCCAGGTGGACATCACCTTTGTGATATGGGCACGCCCTCTGCAGGGGCCTGTCCAGGTCTCATATGGAGCTGAGGGTCCTTCCTCATTACCCGCCCCCAGCACAGCAGGGACTGGGAGGGGGAGGTTGTGGGGGGGACTCAGTCTTTCATGGATCCCTCTCCACGCACAGGTTTCTGACAGCCCCAAAGGAAGGACGGGATGGGCTGGGGGTCTGCCTTCCTGAGCTCTGTGAGGCCCTTATGTCACCTCATCTCCCAGCAGCCTGTGAGCAGGATGGGAACAGGGGTAAGCAGACAGGAACCCGACACTCAGAGGAGAGAAGGGACCGCCCAGCCCCACAGCAGGAGCAGCAGAGCCAGGAGCTGAACCAGGGCTGGTGCACCTTGTTCCCTCCTCTGAACTGAGCCTGAGCTGAGGGGTAGGACTGGGTGCCCGGACCCTTGTCCTGCCTGTCCCTCGCTGTACTGTGTCACCGTCACTGAGACAGAGGGGACAGGCCCCATAACATCAGGTCATAGGGGCTTCCCTGTGAGGCCCCTCTCCCAGGAGGTCAGGGCCAGAACTGACAGGAAATCTAAGCTCTGGACAAGGATTCCCTACTTTTACACTTGGAGACACAGAGGCACAGACTGGGGAAGGGCGTGTCCAATTCAGCAAATCCAGAGGTGACTGAACCCCTGCAAGGCTCAGCTCCTGCCCCCATGGAGGCACCCACCACCTTCCCATAGAACCCCTCACACACCATGGGTCGGAGAGACCGATGCTCTGAGCCTCCTGGGTTCAGGATGACAGGTGTGGGGTGGGGGCTGCCTTCTCCCACATGAGCCCAGCTCCTCCCCAGCCTGAGCCCCCACATCTCCCTCTGCCATGACCACCCCACCCATCACTGCCACTGACCCTGGAACTCCAACCCCCCTGGGACACAAGCTGGTCCTTGAGGATCTGGGTCACTCCATCCCCTGACAGACTCTCAGGACTTGCTGGGTGGGCTGTGCTCCCTCTGAGCAGAGTTCCCCGGGACTCACCAGCTGTGGAGGTGGGCCCTGTGGGTGCAGGGCTGGGGCCTCCTGAGGGTCCTGGAAATGAGGACAGGAAGA